CCCAATGCCCTCACTGTGGCAGAAGATGCAGATCAAGAATAGGACTCCACAGTCACCTACAGACACACCGCCAGGACACTACACTTGGAAGACAATCCTACTCGGACAACGAGGGATTGCTTAAATAAGTAATGCAAGGTTTAAGCATTAGATTGTGATAATGGAGACTAGGGTTCAGTCACAGAAACCTAGCTGGGTGCCTTGGGCACGTCATCTGGAGAACAAGCCCTATGAGGAGCGGCTTAAGGAGCTGGGCATGTTTAGCCTGAAGAAGAGAAGGCTGAGAGGAGATATGATAGCCATGTATAAATATATGAGAGGAAGCCACAGGGAGGAGGAGGGAGCAAGCTTGTTTTCTGCTTCCCTGGAGACTAAGACGCAAGGGAACAATGGCTTCAAACTACAAGAGAGGAGATTCCATCTGAACATGAGGAAGAACTTCCTGACTGTGAGAGCCGTTCAGCAGTGGAACTCTCTGCCCCGGAGTGTGGTGGAGGCTCCTTCTTTGGAGGCTTTTAAACAGAGGCTGGATGGCCATCTGTCAGGGGTCATTGGAATGCAATATTCCTGCTTCTTGGCAGAATGGGGTTGGACTGGATGGCCCATGAGGTCCCTTCCAACTCTTTGATTCTATGAGTCTATGCTCTCTCAGCCTCAGAGGAAAGCCATGGCAAACCTCCTTTGAACCAATTGTGCCAAAAATACATTGTGTTAGTGTCACCACAAGACAAAACCGATTTGAGAACAATTAATTTGCTTAAAACAAAGGAAGGAGAGGTTTGTGAACAGAGTAAAACACACCCACAGCCTAATGAGTAAGGAATACGTATCACACACACACACCATGCACATACCCACACCCTACCCTGTGATGCTGACAAAGCCAGCAGACGATTTGCCTAAATCTTTATCCCGTATTTCATGCAGCTCGATGGCTTCGTCAGTTACGTAATGTTAAACACATCAAGCCAAATGAAGGGGGGAGAGAGACAGGAGGGAGAGGGATTACAGCAATATGCTGTATATGCAATATACATGGAACATGACATTCCATGTATGGATTATGCAAATTCTGTATACCACGCAGCAAAACGTCTGTGTAAATTATTACAACACGAAATTCACAAAGTTTGTTCTTTTCCATCATTTTTTCCCTACCGTCTATGTTCCTGAAAAAGGGCAACAGACTAATGGAGGACATTAAGATCCTGACCCACAGCCAGGAGAGGGGGGGTCTCAGGATCTACCCTAGCATGGCTCTACCTGCCCTGAAGTCACCCACCAGGCTGGACAATTTCACCATATTTTTGGCCCTTTCAGAGTCAAGAGTGTAAGGGAAAACTACACCAAAAATAAGCAGAGCATCCAAAATACTGTATAAACAGGATACTCAAGGTTGAGCATTCATCTCATTAGCGAGCAAAGCATGAAGTGTAAGTTATTACAACACAAAGTTCACAAAGTTTGCTCTTTTCCATCATTTTTTCCCTACCATCAATGTTCTCAAGAAAGAGCAACAGACTAATGGAGAACATTAAGATCCTGACCTACAGCCAGGAGAAGTCCTACTACAGCCCACATCACCTGTGCCATCTCGGGTTTTAACTAGGCTCCAAAATCCGGATCATAGAATCATAGAATCAAAGAGTTGGAAGAGACCTCCTGGGCCATCCAGTCCAACCCCATTCTGCCAAGAAGCAGGAATATTGCATTCAAATCACCCCTGACAGATGGCCATCCAGCCTCTGTTTAAAAGCTTCCAAAGAAGGAGCCTCCACCACACTCCGGGGCAGAGAGTTCCACTGCTGAACAGCTCTCACAGTCAGGAAGTTCTCCCTCATGTTCAGATGGAATCTCCTCTCTTGTAGTTTGATGCTACACTGCTTCCATCTCTCTCACTTCTCTTCCAGAATAAATTTACCTACTGACTCAGGAAGGCCCGTAGCCAGGATTTTGAATAACCCTCTGACTTTAAACACCACACATTGAATAGGAAAAAAAACAATCCTTTTATTGAAGATAAGTAAAAAGCAGCAAAGTATAAAGCACTTTAAAGAAACAGGTAAATCCAATTAAGTAAGAAGATAAGCAGGAACAAATTAGAACAAGGTAGAGTTCAGCAACATTCATAAAAGCAAAGTCCACACATCTCCAATACAGTCCAGAAAACCAAGAATACATTGATCCAAGGCTTGGGTAAGCAATCATGAAATCCAGGAATCCAGAACCATGAACAAGAAATATCTATTTATTTATTTTTATTTTTTTCAGAGTTTTATATACCGACCTTCTCACCTCTTTTGAGGGATTCAGACCGGTTTCCAACCATAAAAACACATACAATCAGTAAAAAACATCATAGTTCATATTACAATAACGCATTAAAACAACAAATATATCCAAAACTACGGTGGTCAGTCGTCATACTAAAATCGAATATACATCATCTTCCCTCCATGTCTTAGGGTGTTGTCTCACTCATCAAAAGCCTGTCTCCATAACCACGTCTTCACTTGTTTCCTAAAAGTCAGGATAGAAGGGGCGGTTCTGATCTCCGGTGGGAGAGAGTTCCAGAGTCGCGGGACCACCACCGAGAAGGCCCTGTCCCTCGTCCCCACCAGACGCACTTGTGAGGCCGGTGGGACCGAGAGCAGGGCCTCTCCAGATGATCATAATAATCTTGATGGTTCAAAGGGGAGGATACGTTCGGAGAGGTAAACAGGGCCGGAGTCGTTTAGGGCTTTAAAGGTTAACACCAGCACTTTGAATTGTGCTCGGAAGCTAATTGGCAGCCAATGGAGCTGGTGTAACAGCGGAGTGGTGTGCTCCCTGTACCCAGCACCCGTTAGTAGTCTGGCTGCCGAGCGTTCGACTAGCTGCAGCTTCCGGGCAGTCTTCAGAGGCAACCCCACATAGAGAGCGTTGCAGTAATCTAAGCATGAAACTTCAAAGAAGGGTTTCCATAAAACAAGGACGAGAACTTGGCGTGATTCTAAACGATGCTTCATCTGACTACACATCCCAAACTTGAGACT